AGAAATTCAAAATATTTCTTTTCATATGCCAAAAACAAGGCAAATACCACATCTAGTATCGGACCCTTACTCAGACAGGATGGGGCTTACACAGATGACAACAAGGAAATGAGTGAAATATTGAAATCCCAGTACGACTCTGTGTTTAGTGAACCACTAATCGGTCTGAGGATCGACGACCCAAATGATTTCTTCATGAATGAGCCTCAAAATTCCATAAATGTATGCCAGATTTCCGACATTACCCTAACTCCGATAGATTTCGAAAAAGCCATTGACAACATGCCTATGCACTCAGCCCCGGGCCCAGACTCATGGAACTCTGTTTTCATTAAGAACTGCAAAAAAAAACCCTCTCGCGTGCCCTAAGTACACTATGGAGGAGGAGCTTGGACATGGGTGAAATTCCACAGTCACTTAAAACAACGGATATAGCCCCACTCCATAAAGGTGGCAGCAAAGCATTAGCTAAGAACTATAGACCAATAGCTCTGACGTCCCACATCATAAAAATCTTTGAAAGAGTGCTAAGAAGCAGGATTGCAAATCACCTGGATTCCCAAAATCTGCACAATCCAGGGCGACATGGGTTCAGGGCAGGGTCGCTCTCTCCACTACACATCTACTGGATCACTAATGAATGCATGTAACATAAAGAAAATTCAGAAGCATTGTAACATACCAACTTGGTCAATAAGCATTGAAAATCATCAATGGCTAATAGCCATAAAATACGTGCTAAAGGATACTTGGTAATGGGAAATGGAATCTTCAACTTCCTAACAATCGAAACAAAGGCGCTATGTAAGGGTTCATCGGAGGTCAGTCATGCACCATCTGTTCCACAAGGCACAGTACTCGACCCCCACTTATTCCTTATCCCACACATCACTTGACAGAGATATACACCACAGCACCGATCATCCTTGCGATGATACTAGCGATCTCATAGAGTCATCAGCTGAGGTTCCGGGTTAACGTCCAAAAATGATTAAAAATAGTTTAACTATGGTAACGGTAAACAATAGATGTTAAATGAACAATTTCAACTACTCCGTTCGGCAAATGAGGAGAAAATAATGAACAGAGTGGTATACTATGAGGTCGGCCATACAATAGACGGAAAAATAGTAGGGCACTGCCTGAAAGAAGTAGAGATATGGAGTTCAATTTCAAGGATCACAACATGCCACGATCGCCTTTCAAAGAAAACTATAGGATGGTAATGAAATTTCAAAACGAGAGATGCCAACCAAGTGATCCTTTTACAAATCAACTGTTCTCTCGAGGCTGGAAATCTTTACTACTCATCCATTCAAGCAGCTGAAATGACAGATAAGAGTGTACAGAGATCCTTTACTGCCGTTAAGTCTGTCAAGAAAACTATGAACGCTTGAAGAACTTTGACTTGGTCTCGAAACGCAGGAGGGAAAAACTCCTAAATAAAACACTGGGAGCATAACTTGGCAAGAAAATGGGCCCAAATCTGCACACAAAGACCCCAAAACAAAAGACGGGGCCGAAATCTGTTAAGCAGCTCATGGTTTGGCAGTCAAGAGCCCTGGGCCTTCAAGGTGATGCTTCAAACTGTGACAGAATTTATGTTCGGTGCGAGGAGTTAGGTGTGTGGGATAGAGGAAGGGCAAGTTAGGTGGTAGTTAGGCAGGGGATGGGGAGTAGGTGTACGATGTAGAGGGGGGGTGTTGATCGGGAGGAACCAGGAACTCCAGGTGACTGCTACTTAAGAGGGCAAGTTATCATCCGAGTTAGCAAATTATCCCCAATACCAGCTTTCTCCCTGCTATGCATATAAACGACCACCATACACCTCCTTCCGACATACACATACCATACGGTTGACCACATACCACACCATACTGTGTACTAATGCTTTGGCCATTCCTACAGGGTAGCCCAATTCTCTCCCCACTCTACTTGAGTACCGAACTACATCATTCTTAAGACTTGAAACATCATTTCCTATTCCCATGTCTTCTAACTCCAGCCATCTTCGACCAAATCCATTCTGACAACTTTGATTCCTGGCACATACTTTTCTCAAAATATTCCTACACAGCTACTAACACATATACAACATGTTTCTGACTAACAACATATTTCATCAGATACAAACACTAACATCCAGGTCATCCACATCATCAATTTCTCGGATACCAAAGTGTGAGTATGTCCCCATATTCCTTGACCTTCTTCACTACCCCACACCATGCATCCATTATTTGCTACTACTTCACTACCACATCACAAAACACCGAGGACATCTACCATCAGACTCACACCTACCCCATACAACAACCTAAGTTTTTCCCATATCCAGCTTAAACGAGTTAGATCCTCCCCTTGTATTGACTCATGAATAGATTTCAGGGATCAAGTAATCTAGAACTACCTTCAGCAATGTAAGTGTAAACAGCCGATAAGTTCAAGACATGACGCTACAGAAGGTACTAATAAGACACACTTCCAACGTTATTTAAAATAAATGCCACAAAACGTCAGTATATTGCTCCAACATACAGGAAAAGTATTTAAGGGACTCGTTGAGTTGTTGACATTCTTTTTCGACACACTTATGTTCCGTACCACATCAAAAAATGACGTGGAATAAGTCAAAAGTTTTTTAGTCTGGTCCAGTGTCCTATTGTTGACATTTTCACAGGTTACAGTCAATTCATATGACTTAACTCCCTCACCTGGTGAAATTTCTCTCTAATAACACTTTTGCTGATTAAAACCAGAAAATTAGCAACACCTTAATTACTGAAACATTTCGCCTACACGAGTGTCTCGTTGAACAGGAGGGAGATACAAACAGAAAATTTGGAATGGATGGTAATCAAATCCCACCTAAGAATATTCTTGAAATAAGCTCAGATTCGTTACATTTATGGTTTCGTCGCTTAGGACCTTATCTGTACTCTGGAAGAAGGTTACGTGGGAACAACGTTTGAATAGTGATCGTAATGTGCAGGGATTATGTTTGATGGGGTTGGTAATATGTTATATGTCAGACGCTGCTACATTACTTGTACTTTAATGTTACGTGTAAGGTTTTGATATCACAAGTAACTTACGTGTGAGGCCGAGCTTGAAATATTTAAACTATTCGACTTATATAACTATTTTCCAATACATTGTTATCCGGTGTTTAATCAGTACATGTAACTAATTACATGATGTACTCATCATGAAGATGGATACGTTTTTGGCGTTATGAACATTTTCAAAGAACAACGTTTATACTTTACCACGTGTGTACGGTAAATGTTTCCCCCATCTGGTTTGGTAAGCGTTGTTCCACTAACTAGATTGTACATTACATTTTGTTATCATTAATGTTTTAACATGGGTCCTGTTAAACTTTGCAAACAGTCACAATGTTTTGCAATATCATGAAATTGATTTAGAAATTTTTAATTTCTGTAAAGGCTGTATAAGTGCATATTAACTAATTTTAAAATATGTTATATTGTGCTTCTGTAGAAAGTTTTTATGATGATTTTATTCTGATAGGTTGATGAGGCAGTCCTTATTCTACTCCTGTTACATCTAATTGCCCGATTAGTCGAAATCAATGAACGGAGGTTTCTTTCGTTATCGTGGTTAGGTAAGTGATATATTTCTGTGGAGGTTAGTCTCATGTATTGAGTAAGAATTTCTATGGGAAGCAGCAACGAACGACTGCAATGTAGTGGCCACAAAACCGATAATTCATTGGTACGGCTAGAAGGTTCAAGTGCGTTGGTTAATTAAACTAAAATCACAAACGTCATGAAGTGGTCCACAACTATGTTAAGGTTTGAGATGGTGGGTGAGCGGTTGTTGAGTTGCACTTTTGCGTTTCCACGCTCACGTGAATATGTCAGGATGTTTTTTAGTCTGGCGTGCCATATTGTGAAGTTACACAGTTAACAGTTCATTTTATATGCTGTCATCCAACTGTCCCCCGGATTTTCTCTTCTAATAAATTTTGGATTAAAAAAAACTGAGCAACAATTAGTATCTTTATTCCCAAACATTTGCCTACACAGAGGCTTTTTCAGTCGAGACAGAGGAGCAGAAGCATAGAGATTTAATGTATGTAATCAGTCCCTCACTCTTGAAACGTAGTTTTTAGATGCAGTTTACATCGTCTTTAATATCTACTGCTTCCGCTTCCTCTATACCGACTGAAGAAGGTTTCTCTTAACGAAAAGTTTTGAAATAAAGTTTCCTAACTGTTTTCTCTGTGTCTATTATCAATTTGTTTGGGGGATTTTGTACTTTTCATATTAGATCTCTGCTACATTCTTGTACTTTTAAAGTCTTAATTTATATACAAATAAAACCCTGTTTTAGGCCCCGGGTTGAAATTTTTCAAAAAAATATTCGCTTATATAACTTCTTTGACTACGGGAAAAATTTTTATTGGGGGTTTTTAAACAAGTACAGAACTAGATTATCATATGACTCCATCATGAAGATGAGTACGTCTTGGTTTTCTGTTGAGTAATTGTGCAAAGGAACAACTTTTTTTTTTTTTTAATGTAGAGGCTAAATACGCTCTTCCCCCCATGCTGCTTTTTGTAACGGTTGTATCTAAAATAGTTTTTACCCCGGTATTCAATTTTTTTTTTTATCAAAGTAATCTTTTTAAAATGGGGGTTTTAAAATGCAAACATTTTCTTTTACTCAGGAAAGAGTCTATTAATAAACGATATTTTGATGTTACATGCTTTAAGACCTTGCATATTTGTACAAATAAATGGTTATATTGTTTGCTTCTTAGGAGAATTTTTCTGACAGTATTATCTATGGCTCTGATGAGGCAGCCACTAACTCTGTTTCCAGTCTAACATGGCTCCGAGGTGGTCGAATATTCTTGTCACGTCGTGCTATTCTTTTTCGCTTCCTGGCTGTGGTGGTGGTTGGTGATAGTGATAGTATTGGTGTTGGTGGTGGTAGTGGTAGTGGTGAGGCTACTGCTGCTGGTGAAGGAGTCAGAGGCAGAGGTGGCAGTGTTGGCGGCCACACACACCAAAATACCCTGCAAGAGTGGGTGTGCAAGCGTGCGTTTGTGTGTTCGCAAGCGTCTGTTTTCAACAATAAGTCATAAAATTGGCCACAACCTATTTCTACAGATTTGAAATGGGCGAGGAGAGGCTGCAGAGTGGTTGCATGTTGCAGCAGTTGGCTGCAGCTGTGAATGATCACAGCATTGTGCTCTGAGAGGCTCCTCCACTCAGACGCAAAGATGCACAGCAAAATTACTCAGACGTACATTGTTATATCTGATAAATTAGACGCGTGTGCAACACTTGGGTATCTTTATTGCGGAAACGCTTCGCCACACAGTGGTTTCATAAGTGCAGTACAAAGAAGGAAATTGAAGTTCAGGAGATTGAGGTAATCAGTCCATCCATCTTTATCTAGATTAATGGAGTGTTGACAGTCACAGTTACGAACACAGCGAGTGTTGACAGTCACAGTTACGAACACAGCGAGTGTTGACAGTCACAGTTACGAACACAGCGAGTGTTGACAGTCACAGTTACGAACACAGCGAGTGTTGACAGTCACAGTTACGAACACAGCGAGCGTTGACAGTCACAATTACGAACACAGCGAGTGTTGACAGTCACAGTTACGAACACAGCGAGTGTTGACAGTCACAGTTACGAACACAGCGAGTGTTGACAGTCACAGTTACGAACACAGCGAGTGTTGACAGTCACAGTTACGAACACAGCGAGTGTTGCATTTAAGACTGGAGAGAGAATAATGCCCGTGACTGTGTTTGCCTACATGTATGTTGATAAGATTATAATAAGTTTATTGTGTGCATGAGGGAAGGAGGGAGGGTGGTGTAGCAGGTAAGGCAAGGCGGTAGGAGGAGGGGGGATGGGATTGGTGTTGGCTAGGTGCCCGGGGACGAGCGAGGGGGTCTGGCGGCCCCCACTATTGTAGGCACAGTTCCGGCTTGGCCCTGGCACGTCGAGGGACCACCTCGAGTCCCCGCTGGCCTTTACTAGGGACCACTTCGAGTCCCCGCTGGCCTTACTAGGGACCAAACAGGCATGTGGCGACGAGCCTGCTGACCTGTCACCAGCAGCCAGGCCCTCATTATCACGTGTTTTGTAGCTTAGTGCCTCTCGTGCCAGTGAGTGCCTCTCGTCAGTGTCTCTGCCGAGGACTGATTATAGTGTTGCGGTCACCCCTCTACGTTGTGCAGCGGGTGATTGTACAGAGGCCAGTGTGAGGCGAGCGAGGGCCAGGTGTGACGTAGAGGCCTCTGTCACATGAGGCCTAGGTTAGTGTAACGTAGGCCTGGTCCAGCGATAGTAGGCCTGGTCCAGTGTTTACGTAGGCCTGGCTCAGTGTGACATAGGCGTGGGCCAGTGTATGCGAGTGTGAGGCTGTGTGAGCAACATGTGTATAGTGATAGTGATGAACGGGGCGGCGGGTCCACCCCGTTGAGTGCCTTGTTAGTCTTCTGTGAGGGACTTGCCCTCACCCGCCACCCTCACTACTCTCTACCTCATGAGTCCTGGTCCTGATACTGCTGCTTCTGCTGCTTCTGCTTCTGCGGCTGCTGTTGCTTCCGCTGCTGCGTGCTGCTGCAAACACAGAGGGCCAGCACCTGCCACGGCCTTTGGGTACTTACAGAAGGAACTCGGCCCTCGCCCAGGGCTCTGTGGCGGGGTCATACGGTAGTGGGGGTGGCGGCGGTGGTGCTGCTGCTGGTGGTGTATGGTGGTGGCGGTGGTGGTGCCACGGGTGATGACATGAAGGTGGTGGTGGTGAGCGGCCACCATGCCGGTCTGCTGCACCATGCTAAAAGCCCCCGACACCCCACCCCAACTACCACCCCCACAACCAATCCACTGCGCCAACTGTACAGGTATGTATACCACCCGAACACCCTCGCTCTCACCCTCTACACTATGTTATGACTACCAGGCGCAGGTGGTGATGGAGAGAAGCAAGGAAGATACAAAGAAAAAAACAGACTCTTAGAGAGGTACTTTTACAGAAAGTACCTCTCTAAAGGTTTCTTTTTTTGGAGTAGGGAAGAGAAATGGAAGGTAAGACAGTACACGAGGTGAAGGAGAGAGTAGTGAGCATGTGCAGGCAGATAACACGCACGTATACAGCAGCAGCTACAATGCAGAGTGACACTCGGTGGTTTACAATGAAGTGTAGTGAAGCGAAGGCTGTGGACATTGTCATGGGGAGGATGGCAGAAAACAGGGAACTAAACATGGATAAGAAGGCAGTCAGAAAGGCATTCAGAGAAAGACTCTTGAACAAAGGTCAGACAAGGTAGAAGCTGATAACATGCTCGCTCGCATAAGATAGTAAGAAAGTAATTAATGAGACTTCAGGAGGAACACAAGTGGCAAAGAATAACAGAGAGGTGTTCATAGAACTGAAGAGAACGTTCAAAGAGGTCTTCACCAAAGAATCAGAAAAGACACGAAAAGAAGCGAAGGAAGGGATGGGCAAAGACAGGAGATGTAACTGGATCAGACATATCGGCATAAGTGTTGAGTGATGGATGAGAGTAACTGTGCAACCATGTAGCAAGGAACCACAGTATGTCAATAAGCAGCTAGACAGATAAAAAAAATGCAAAAGTGAATCCGCTACAATGGAACTGTATAATTCCTGAGAGGCTGCTAGAGGTGCCGTCAGTTGTGAAGCCGCGGCCGATAGTACAAGTTTCTCAAGTATGAGCTGTTTCAATATTTTTCTGTCTTTATTTCTTTAAATATTGTTCTGATATGTTTACTGCTGACCTCAGGAAGAATGAGAACGTTCTGCAAACAATGTAGGGGTCGTGTGCCCAGCAAATAATGTAGGAGTCGTGTGCCCAGCAAATAATGTAGGGGTCGTGTACCCAGCAACTACTGCAGGGGTCGTGTGCCCAGCAAACAGTGTAGGCACCTATTTAGAGCGTTTGAAGCTACGGCACAGAGAGTTTTGGAAATTATCCGAGTCATTCCAAGATACTGGAAATGGATTCAATAACTTTGGTTGTAGGGTACGTGAACACGCCAATTGTTCCAGGAATTTGACCCTCGTTACCGTACACAAGTTTTGAACATTTGAAGCCGATTGGACAAGGCATTCTCGAGTTAGGAGCGAAAAAACAAAAGCGAAAAGTTGGAGCTGGGAAAAAACGTTCAGACCACTTCTTAAAAGGTATTCCTTTGGTGATACCTGATGAAAACATGTACCTAGTGTTGAGGTAATGACTGTAGGTAGAGGGGACAGTAGGTGCTTTTATAACTACCTGAAGTTACCCTTCAGCCAGCTTGTTTACCTGCAGTGTGTGTGCAGGACAGCCATCACAGCCTCCCACGTAGGCCAGTACAACCTACGTCAGGTCTACCACCACAGAGCAAGAAAAACAGTAATGTTATTGGACGGTGATAAATTAATGAATGCAGAAAAACAAGGCCACGTATATGAATCAGTGCCAGGGAAATATGTAGATACGAGTTTAAATGTTATCATCAATATTAGAAAATGTAGGACTAATCTAGGAATGATAAGATGTCAGTGTGGGAAGCAGCACAGTATGTGTCACCAGATGTGTCAAGATTCTCTTGAAAAGAGGAATGTTTACTGTTTCACGTGAGAGGAACTGATTGCGTCCAACCAAAATCTTTTAGGCGTGCGGATATATGAAGACAAAGAGATTTTAAACAGACAGACGAAAAGCGTGGATAAGAGAGAAGTGGGACAGTATAAGTCGTTAGGAAAACAAAACAGGTCATAGACACACTAAAATCTAAATTATTACGCACTATAATATCACGAACACCAGCTGTACATAGCAGAAGCCAAATACCCACACCAGCCACACTACAAAGACATAGAAGTATACTACACTGAATATGTATAGCAAATACAGCAAATCACCAGTGAAAAAAAGAACAAAAAGCAGGGAGGATATCGTCTTTTATATTTGCAGATACACAAGACAGAAAACTTATAAGATATCAGCAAAGGCTCTCAATGGGTAAATGACAATATGATGATTAGTGGACAAATTTCAGTTGCTTAGTTATGAGAAGAATGTCTCAGAATGATCACAGTATATAGATTACACATAGAGCATACCCTGGTTAATATGGTGGTGGTTCTACCCCTGCAGCCTGTCCTGAGGCCTCGCTGCACTGGTAGAACCTTCGAAAGTGGTCACAGGTCAACGAAAGGAAAACAAAAAAAATTAACTGTAGACCAGTTTTGCTTTACTGCATACTGGCTGAAGTGTTAGTAAAAAATAATAGTATAATTCCTTGAAAAAAAAAAAGTGACACCTACGAGAGTGAGCACATTTTCAAAAATAGTAAATCGTATCATACAAACCTGGAGTTTTATGAGAGTAATGTAAATAATGGCGGCGAGTGAGGGAGGAATGGGTAGACTGCACATTCCTAGCCTGCAGGAAAGCATTGTACGGTCACGCCTGTGAATGATAGACAGTCTGTGTAAGTGAGCAGGTGGGAATATGGAGAGGGTGCGCAAGTGGCTACTTAAATTTAGTCGTGGAAAGTGTAAAGTACCAAGAATAGGCTAGGAAGTGAGATCTGTTTATAATTGATTGGAATCCTAGTTGTACTCATCCTGTTGTTGCTGGTGTGGCCGGCTCTGCTCCAAGCCTCACATCTGACCATGCTCTTTATCGTGCCTTTTCTGAAAACTGTGCAATGAGTGTGTGCACGAGCGTGCCAACAAGGAGGGCCTTGACGGACAGAAGCGTTTGTTTTGTCTGTGTGGTGGGTACATTATGATGGTGCCACGGGATGTCTACCACCCGCTGCTTCCAACCCGTGTGTCTGAGACCTGTTCACCGCCTTGCTGCTGCTGGTGACGGGGGGGGGGGGAGGTGAGGAAAATGAAAGAGATGGTGAAGAAGAAATAATAACAATAATATGTGAAGACTTTTGGTGGCTGGGATCAGCTCATCATCTTAACATAATACACTCACCTCTGCGACCATCCTAACCCACCGACACCTCCACTGTTGCTGTTACTACTGCTGCTGTTGCTGCTGCTATTGCTATTGCTATTGCTGCTGCTGCTGTTGCTGCTGCTGCTATTGCTATTAAATTTGCTACTCTTGTTTTTACTAGTATTATTGCTCCTCTTACAATTAATGTTACTACTGCTGCCGTTATTACTGTTGTTGTTGCTGCTACTGTTCTTCATATGTCTGGAAAAACAACATTGTGTCAGTATAGAAACATTACATTCTTAACGGTGTTTTAGACACAAAGTTTTCCCTAGACATGTCATTTTAGGTTGGTTTCCGAACGAGGTTCCCAACGTCACTGTCGTAATGTATCATCTAAGACCATCAAAAACTATTTTGATTATTTGAAGTTAAGGTAGGTTGTATTAATGTTTGACAACTTAGTTTAACCACGAATAAGACGAAGTGATAAGTCTGACAACGAGTTGGTAGAAATAAAACAGGAAACGTTCAGATCTGAACGATTATCACTGACAGGCGTGTGTTGATAGTGACACCAGCACCCACACCTGTCAAGCCATCCTCCAGGCTTGTGTTGATAGTGACACCAGCACCCACACCTGTCAAGCCATCCTCCAGGCTTGTGTTGATAGTGACACCAGCACCCACACCTGTCAAGCCATCCTCCAGGCTTGTGTTGATAGTGACACCAACACCCACACCTGTCAAGCCATCCTCCAGGCTTGTGTTGATAGTGACACCAGCACCCACACTTGTCAAGCCATCCTCCAGGCTTGTGTTGATAGTGACACCAGCACCCACACTTGTCAAGCCATCCTCCAGGCTTGTGTTGATAGTGACACCAGCACCCACACCTGTCAAGCCATCCTCCAGGCTTGTGTTGATAGTGACACCAGCACCCACACCTGTCAAGCCATCCTCCAGGCTGTGTGTGATAGTGACACCAGCACCCACACCTGTCAAGCCATCCTCCAGCTTGTGTTGATATGACACCAGCACCCACACTTGTCAAGTCATCCTCAGGCTTGTGTTGATAGTGACACCAGCACCCACACCTGTCAAAGCCATCCTCCAGGCTGTGTTGATAGTGACACCAGCACCCACACCTGTCAAGCCATCCTCCAGGCTTGTGTTGATAGTGACACCAGCACCCACACCTGTCAAGCCATCCTCCAGGCTTGTGTTAATAGTGACACCAGCACCCACACCTGTCAAGCCATCCTCCAGGCTTGTGTTGATAGTGACACCAGCACCCACACTGTCAAGCCATCCTCCAGGCTTGTGTTGATAGTGACACCAGCACCCACACCTGTCAAGCCATCCTCCAGGCTTGTGTTGATAGTGACACCAGCACCCACACTGTCAAGCCATCCTCCAGGCTTGTGTTGATAGTGACACCAACACCCACACATGTCAAGCCATCCTCCAGGCTTGTGTTGATAGTGACACCAGCACCCACACCTGTCAAGCCATCCTCCAGGCTTGTGTTGATAGTGATAACCCACACCCAACACCCCCTTGTCAAGCACCATTCCTCCAGGCTTGTGTTGATAGTGAACCAGCACCCACACTGTCAAGCCATCCTCCAGGCTTGTGTTGATAGTGATACCAGCACCCACACTGTCAAGCCATCCTCCAGGCTTGTGTTGATAATGACACCAGCGCCCACACCTGTCAAGGCCATCCTCCAGGCGTGTGTTGATAGTGAACCGACCCACACCTGTCAAGCCATCCTCCAGGCTTGTGTTGATAGTGAACCAGCACCCACACCTGTCAAGCATCCTCCAGGCTTGTGTTGATAGTGATACCAGACCCACACCTGTCAAACCATCCTCCAGGCTTGTGTTGATAGTGAACCAGACCCACACCTGTCAAGCCATCCTCCAGGCTTGTGT